TATTCCCACACCCTGCTTCCCCCCACCCACCCCCAGAGCTGACCACCAGTGAGAACGCATCCAGTGACACAGGCTGCTGCAGGGGTGGAGCCAAGACCTGGGAAGGCTTCCTGGGGGAGGTGCAGCGTGAGAACTGGCCTTGCGGGGGTGGGAAGATTGTGACACGCGACCAGTGGGGAAGGAGAGAGAGGGGCTCCAGGCAGGAAGATAAGCCTTGGACCTATTTCAGAGGATGAAATGAAATGACGCGTGCCAAGTGTCTGTGCACGGCAGATGCTCGGTAAACCTGAGACCACGGTGTGGGGCAGGAGAGCCAAGGACAAAAGGCTCTTTCTCGGGAGCATTTGGGATGGAGAAGAGGGTCGGATGAGGGGCAAAGGGCCTCGGGAATTACACTCCAGGCCTGTGTGTCCCGCACAGGCACCCCAAAGAGTAGAGCCTGACCTCTGGGGTTCCACTCCCTCACACTCATTTTCCCCCTGGTCCAGCCACCCACAAACACCCACAACCCCAACCCAGGAACCCCAAGGAAAGCAGGCAGCCCAGGGGGATGATGGTGCAGGGAGCAGAGTGCCCACACGGGGGCAGCAGAGAGCCAGCCAGGAATGTGGGGCTACTTGGTCCCAGAGGAGGGTACCCCATACCTTTTGTGTTGCTGTCCAGTGATTCCAACTCACAGTGACCCTATAGGACAGAGTAGAACTGCCCCATAGGGTTTCCGAGGAGCGGCTGGTGGATTTGAATTGCGGATCTTTTGGCTAGCAGCCATAGCCCTTAACCACCGTACCAACAGGGATCCATCAGAGGAGGGTGGGGGTCAGAAAAATGGGGCAGAGGGACCAAGGTCAGGGAGGCTGTGGGCCTAAAGCCTGGGCAGACAGTGTCCGGGGTGTCGTCACCTGTCCCCACAACCCACACTCAGGTGGTCATTTGTTCCTTTCATCATTTCTTCTGTTTGTTTGTCCTCCTGAGCCAGCCTATCTTCCTTCCTTCCTTCTTCCCTCCCGTGCTCACTCCCTCCCTCCTTTTCCTTCCCTCCCCTTGTTTGTCCAGCCCGGCAGTCACTGGTCATAGCATCCTGAGCCACTGCCAGGGCGAGCCTGGGCCAGGCACTTCGCTTGAGGGACAGAGATGGGTCAGTCTTAGGGCGTTCAGGCTTGGCTCAGAGCTGGGAGTCCACGCCTGGCCACCTGCATCCCCGGGGAGGTGCCGGCCTGAGGACCTCTGCTATCTGCGGTCCGCGGGGCAGTGACCACTCTGTGAGGTTCCAGAAGGACTCTGAACTCAGCCTGGATGGGGTCTTGAAGGGGCTGAGTCACCGACAGTCCGGCAGTAAACCACAGCCACACCAGGTGCCTGGTCGGGCAGACTGTGGTCTGGGCCACCTCTCGGCTCCAAAAGTAAATTTCAGGGAAACAGCGCAGTCTAGGGTCCCGTGATGTCTGAGATTCCGGAACATTCCCTGCCAACCAGTGCAGATTTCACAGCCCGGTGACGAATACCCCGCTTGCAGGAGCATGAGCATAGGGTGGGGGTGAGGCTGGGGCTTGACGTCAGCAGATCTGGGTTCAAATCCTGCTCTGCTTCCTGCTAGACTGAGGCAAGCCAGTCCTCCACTCCTCTGTGCCTCAGTTCCCAAATATGGAAAATGGGGGTGGGAGGAGGTATATCAACTGCCTCGCCCACCTCACACTCTGAGAGCTGAATGAAATAACGTATATGAGGCGTGATGGTGGGGAGAGAGCCTGGCTTTGGGGTCAGACAGATGGGTTCAAATTGCAGTTCTGCCTCCGTGGATCTTAGACAAAGATCTTCATCTCTCTGAGCCTCACATTTCTCATCTGTAAAATGGGGCTGATAGTCCCTCCCTCCTAGGGGACAGTGCCTGCACATGGCTAGCAATACATTCGTGGATACTCTTACTGTTAGGAAATGTTGAGTGAAACTGTAAAGCATGACAGACTTCAAGGGTGTCATTAGTGTGATTATCCCTACAGCAAACAAGGCCGAACTCCTCTGCTGACTCTCAGCTCCCCGTCCCCTGTTTTGGCCCCACCTGCCTCCCAGCCTTGCCACCCAAGGCCCAGTGACAGCATCCGTGGAGGTGATGGGAGATGGCGAGGCTGACAGCCAATGAGTGGGGGATGGGCTCCTCCCCACCACTCCCTTGGGCAGGGAGCCCAACTCAGCAGCTACACACCCAGCCCAGTGCCAAGTCACTGCCCAACCCCATGGCAGTTTCGGGGAGGAAGGGGTACCTGAAGGGTGGAGACGTCCTGGGGACTCTCCCCCCATCCAAGTGAGGCTCCATTCAGCCCGCCAACCATAGCTTTGCAGGGGAGCGCTGGAACGAGTCCGGGAATCTGGATGCCAGCTGTGTGACCTTGGGCAAGTCACTCTGCCTGTCTGTGCAGTGGAGGTCCTGACTCCTGCCCTGACTAGAGCGAGGTTCAAAGGGAGTGAAGGTGATTTTCACCTGCCTGGCTTTGAACACTACGGAGGATGACATCATGACCTGCATGGGGCGGGGGTGAAACCCAAAGACTTCTCTGGCTTCTGTTCCTTAAAGTTTCAATGAAACACTCAGTCCAGGACCTGGGGAGACCCTCACACTCATTTTACAAGGATATCAACCCTGGATAACAGGACCGCTAACCGTGGTGGGGAGGGAGAGGAAGAAGGGGTGGGGGTGTTCCAGTTCAATTCCGTGTTTATTCCTGGCCTCCAAAGTACTCCACTACCCAAGCCCTGTGTAACCCTCGGCCTCACCCCTGGCACTAGCTCCCCAACCAACCCTCACCCTCCTGCACAGAGAAGGGCTGCGGCCCCCAGAGCACCCCTCTCTCTTGCCTCCATACCTTTGCACGTGCTGTTCCTTTGGTTTGGAATACCCTTCCTCCTCCATCTAACTGTGTCCCACTTTTCTCTCAAGACACTGGCCAACGGCCCCTTTTCTCTGAAGGGTTTCCTGGCACTCCCCAAAGCTGGGTAAGGAGCCCCCTTTTCCCTCTCCCATCCCACTGCCTCTCCCTGCCACTCTTGTAGCTCTTTTCCCATGGATTCCCTCCCCGTCTTCCGGTCTAGCCTGTGGCTTCTCACGGCAGGGACTTCCTCTCGGACCTTTCAGGATCCCCAGGCCCTCAGGCACAGAGGGGTCCTCGTGTTTGTTAAATAATAAGAACTGTTCACATCAACCATGCATGAGACCTTGTTCTAAGCACTTTCTAAATGGAAGGTTCCATCACTTTCCTTACTTCTCGCCATAGCCTGAGGTGAGACGGGTGGTCACCCACCTGCAGCGAAACGTCCTGGTGCCATGCCAGGCCTGGCAGTGCCAATGCCTGCTGACCCACAAAGGCGTGCCCAGGCCACTCCTTTCCCGCCTGACCGGAAACACCTGGAGGCCCTGGGGAAAATGCACATTCATTCATTCATTCAAGGTCACTGACTCCTGCTCTGTACCTGGCCCATGCTGGGCACCAGGGGCCCAGGTCTTGTCCTCACAGAGCTGGTAGACCAAGGAGGCTAACCCCCACCCCCTCCTCCCAGGGGAAGTTGCCCAGGTGCCTCCTCTCCCTGCCCCTCTCTCCTGTAAAGGAGCCCTGGTGGCATCATGGTTAAGCACTCACTGGGCTGCTAACCTAAAGATTGGTGGTTTGAACCCACCAGTGGCTCCGCGGGAGAGAAACCTGGCGATCTGCTGCCGGTAAAGATTACGCCAAGAAAACTCTATGTGGCAGTTCTACTCTGTCACGTGGGGTTGCTAGAAGTCAGAATCAACTCCACGGCCCCCAACAACAACGACCCCCTGTATCTAGGGTATGGCAGGTATGGCACCTCCCGCAGCGCCGCTCGAAGGGAGGCTCCTCCTCGAGCAGTTTCCATCGCCAGCTGTGAGAGATCGGTCTGCAGGGTAAAACTACTACCTTCGTATTCGACGGCGCTTTCTGACTTCAGGCTTTCTTCTCTCCCTGCTGGCCACTCCGCTCGTCCTCCCTGCCTGCCCAGTTCGCCCCCACCGACCAGGGGACCCCCATCCCAACACGCCGCCCCGCCCCGCGCCCCCGGCCAGCCCTCCCATCCACCCGCCCGCACGTCAAACGCCCTCTTTTCCCCCCGAGAAGTTTCTAAACGTTAGGGACTATTTTCTGCCAGTGTAACCTTCCACCAAACTGGAGGGAAAAGTTACCCGAAGCCGGAGAAGGGCCAGGGCGATGGGGCAACCCGCCAGAGCCTGCTTTTTAAAAAGGGTCTCTCTTCCAGGAAAATGAATAATCGGGCTCCCAAGGCAGAGTTTCGATTGGGGTTAATTGTCCAAGGTGCACGATGATGCTAAATATTTAAAATAAGCGGCAGATGTTTGGACAGCGGCGCAATGTCAGCGCTTGCCGTGGGCGCTATTTACCGTAGCAACGCCCCCCCGTCCCCACCAGAGGGGGTGCAGGGGTGCCGGGGCGGAGGCTCGTCCCCCTGGAGCCTCCGCGCCCACACACGGTGTTTCCTGGTGGCTGAAGGAGTGTGAACTCGCGCGCGGTCGCCGCCCGGAGGCCCGCCCGGCTC